GAAAAAGGAAAATCTTTCGCTAGTGAAATAAAAAGTAATTCTTGAGATGTGTCTTGGAGGACGTGGTATTATGAGGGAGAGAAGGATACAATGGGTTGACAGGCAACATAATCCAGAAATTTGCATGTGTAAAATGAGGAGATGTGCAACAACATTGCATTTTAGTGCTGCGAGGAATGAACAAAGTTGTGAGGGAGTTGAAAGTCAAAACATTGCAGCTCCAGAAATAAGCAAGTAAACGCCGGGCGCGGTGGCTCTAGCCTGTATCCTAGCACTTGGGAGGCCGAGACGGGGGATCAGCAAGGTCAGAGGAGAGCAAGACCCTTCCTGGCTAACACGGTGAAACCCCGTCTTTACTAAAAATACAAAAAAATTAGCCGGGCGTGGTTAGCGGCGTGCCTATAGTCCCGCTACTCGGGAGGTGAGCAGGAGAATGGCGTGAACCCAGGAGGTTTGAGCTTGTAGTGAGCCTAGATTGTGCCACTGCACTCCACGCCTGGGTGACAGAGCAAAGGACTCGTTCTCAAAAAAAAAAAAAAAAAAAAAGAAAAGAAAAAGAATAAACAAGTAACAGATAATGAAGGGTACATTACTCTATGCTGAAGAGTTTTGATTTTCTTCCTGAAGGAGGAGATGATTAGCTGTTAAGTTAGGAAGTGACAAAATTAATTCCTGCTTTAGAAAAGTCTCTCTGGCAAAAAGGGAAAATGATAGAGATAGAGGAAAAATCGCTTTAGAGACAATTACAGAAATTTTGGTAAGAAGCAACAAGTACTTAGACTGTCAATATGGAATAGAGAGGAGTAAGCCCAAGAAATAGTGAAGAAGTAGAGATTAAATTTGGTTTCAGATTTGCGTTCAAAAGTGAGTTAGCAGCTGAACATATATGATGGCTTCTGATATTAATTTAGGAAATAGGAAGATAATGGGGAAATTGGCAGAAGTGAAGTCTTAAGGTGGCAGAAGGAGATGTTGAGTTGGAGTGTCTGTGTGAACAATATTGGGTACATGTTTAGTGAGTAGTTGTACTTAAGAGCTGAAGCTTGGAATACTGAAGAGCTGAAGATAATTTGGATTAGCTAATTGTATCTTGTAATTACCAGTTATATTAGCCAGGGTTCTTTAGAGGGACAGAACTGATGGAATATGTATGTGTGTGTGTGTATATATATATTCCATCTATATGTGTGTGTGTGTGTGTGTGTGTGTATACATATATATGAGTTTATTAAGTATTAACTCACATGATTACAAGGTCCACAATAGGCCATCTGCAGGCTGAGAAGCAAGGAGAGACAGTCCGAATTCCAAAACTGAAGAACTTGGAGTCCAATGTTCAAGGGCAGGAAGCATCCAGCACAGGAGAAATATGTAGGCTCGGAGTCTAGGCCGCTCTCTCTTTTCACATGTTTCTGCCTGCTTATATTCTAGCCATGCTGACAGCTGATTAGATTGTACCCACCCAGATTAAGAGTGGGTCTGCCTTTCCTATCTCACTGACTCAAATGTTAATCTCCATTGGCAGCAGCCTCACAGACACACCCTGGATCAATACCCTGTATCCTTCAATCCAATGAATTTGACACTCAGTATTAACCATCACACCAGCATAGAGTAGTAGAGGCCATGGATGTGGATATATTGTGTACATAGAGGTCATGGTTGGGTGTACATGCAGAGTGAGAAGATTAAATGCCCAAAGATTTAGCTGTAGTGAAAGGCACAATTGTTACAGGGACATCATTAAAGATGAGCACTGTAACATGGATATTGGTTTGAGAGTTAATATTTAATTATAACCAGGGACCACACGGTAAATATAGTATCTATACTAGTCCATTTTCACACCACTATAAAGAACAACCTGAGACTGGGTAATATAAAAAATAAAGAGGTTTAATTGACTCACAATTCTGTGTGGCTAGGGAGGCCTAAGGAAACTTAAAATCATGGCAGAAGGCTGAGGGGAAACGAGGCACTTCTTCACAAAGCAACAGGAGAGAGAGAGAGCATAGGGGAAACTGCCACTTTTAAGCCATCAGATCTCGTGAAAACTCCCTCACTGTCACCAGAACAGCATGGGGGAAACCACCCCCATGATCCAATCACCTCCCACCAGATCTCTCCTGTGACACATGGGAATTATAATTTAAGATGAGATTTGGGTGGGCTCACAGAGACAAACTACTTCATTCTGCCTCCGGATCCTCCCAAATCTCATGTTCTTGTCACATTTAAAAACCAATCTTGCCTTCACAATGGTCCCCCAAAGTCTAATTCATTATAGCATTAACTCGAAAGTCCAAGTCCAAAGTCTCATCTGAGACAAGGCAAATCTGTCTCACCTATGAGCCTGTAAAATCAAAAACAAGTTACTTACTTCCAAGCTACAATGGAGGTACAGGCAATGGGTAAATATTCTTATTCCAAATGAAAGGAATTGGCCAAAACAAAAGGGCCACAGGCCTCATGCAATTCTGAAAGCTGGTGGGGCAGTCATTAAATCTTAAAGCTCCAAAATCTCCTTTCACTCTGTGTCTCACATCCACGGAATGCTGATGCAAGGGATGAACTCTCATGGTCTTGGGCAGCTCCACTCCTGTGACTCTGTGGGGTATATCCCCTGCAGTTCCTTTCATAGCCTGGCGTTGAGTGCCTGATAAAGTTTGGCTGTGTCCGCACCCAAATCTCAACTTGAATTGTATCTCCCAGAATTCCCACATGTTGTGGGAGGGACCCAGCGGGAGGTAATTGAATCATGGGGGCTGTTCTTTCCTGTGCTATTCTCATGATAGTGAATAAGTCTCACAAGATCTGATGGGTTTATCAGGGGTTTCCACTTTTGCTTCTTCCTCATTTTCTCTTGCCGCTGCCTTGTAAGTAGTGCCTTTCACCTCTTGCCACAATTCTGAGGCCTCCCCAGACATGTGAAACTGTAAGTCCAATTAAACCTCTTTTTCTTCCCATTCTCAGGTATGTCTTTATCTGCAGCATGAAAATGGACTAATACAGTGCCAGTGGCTTTTCCAGGCACATGGTGCAAGCTGTCAGCAGATCTATGATTCTGGGATCTGGAGATCAGTGACCTTCTTCTCACAGATCCCCCTAGGCAGTGCCCCAGTGGGGATTCTGTGTGGGTGGCTCCGAACTCACATTTCCCTTCCACACTGCCCTAGCAGAGGTTCTCCATAAGGGCTGTACCCCTGCAGCAGACTTCTGCCTGGACATCCAGGCATTTCCATACATTCTCTGAAATCTAGGGAGAGGTTCCCAACCTCAACTCTTGTCTTCTGTGTGCCCACAGGCCCAACACTACAGGTAAGCCACCAATGCTACGGGCTTGTAACCTCTGAAGCAAAGACCTGGGCTGTACCTTGGCCCCTATTAGCCATGGCTGGAGCTGGAGCAGCTGGGATGCAGGCTGCTATGGCCCAAGGCTACAGAAAGCAGCAGGGCCCTGGACACAGCCCACAAAACCATTTTTCTCTCCTAAGCCTCCTGGCCTGTAATGGGAGAGGCTGCTGTCCTTGTTGGGAGAGGCTCTTGTACTGTGATGGGAGAGGCTGTGGTGAAGATTTCTGAAATGCCCTGGAGACATTTTCCCCATTGTCTTGGCTGTAACATTTGGCTCTTCATTACTTATGCAATTTTCTGTTTCTTGAATTTTTCCCCAGAAAATGGGTTTTTCTTTTCTACCTCATGATCAGGCTGCAAAATTTTCAAGCTTTTATGCTCTGCTTCTCTTTTAAATAAAAGTACCTGTTTCCAATAATCTGTTTTTGAATGCATATAACTGAACACATTTGGAATCAGCCAGGTCACCTCTTGAATGTTTTGCTGCTTAGAAATTTCTTCCACCAGGTACCCTAAATCACGTCTCTCAAGTTCAAAGTTTCACAGATCTCTAGGACAGTGGCAAAATGCCGCCAGTCTCTTTGCTAAAGCATAACAATAGTGACCTTTACTCCAGTGTCCAAGAAGTTCCTTATCTTCATTTGAGACTGCCTCAGCCTGGACTTTATTGACCAAATCACCATCAGCATTTTGATCAAAACCATTTTAGTTTCTAGAACCTCCAAACTTTCCCACATCTTCCTGTCTTCTTCTGAGCCCTCCATACTGTTCCAACCTCTGCCCATTACCCAGTTTCAAAGCTGCTTCTACATTTTCAGTTTATCTTTATAGCAGTGCCCCACTCCAATCACCAATTTTCTGTATTAGTCCATTTTCACATTGCGATAAAGAATGATCTACGCCTGGGTAATTTATCCAGGAAAAAGGTTTAATTGACTCACAGTTTCTCGTGGCTGGGGAGGCCTCAGGAAACTTACAATCATGGTGGAAGGTTAAGGGGAAGTAAGGCATGTCTTCACAAGGTGGCAGGAGTCAGAGAGTGCTCCGGGGAAACTGCCACTTTTAAACCATCAGATCTCATGAGAACTTTTTTACTATCATGAGAATATCACGGGGGAAACCACCCCCATGATTCAGTCACCTCCCATCAGGTCCCTCCCTCCACATGTGGGGATTACAATTTGAGATGAGATTTGGGTGGGGACACTGAGCCAAGCCATATCAGTATATTTTTAAATGTAGAGTTATTTCTGTTTTACCTACTATGTGTGCACAAACATGAGAGGGAATAATTTAGGATGGTTTCCTGGTTTCTGTCCTAGGCAAGTAAATTGATAGAGGCATACCAAAAAGAAAACAAAAAACTAAGCAAAAACATATGTGTATGTGGATGTGTGTGTGTGTGTGTGTGTGTGTGTGTGTGTGTGTGTATGTGTCTATGTGATTATGTATAGCATAGCATTTTTGGATATATTAACTTATTTTTTGCAACTAAGAATATATTATGAAAAATATCATACTGTAGAGGGAATTTGAGTTTCATTAGTCAGATGCAATTATCTCCCACTGTGTGAAGCTGACTTTCCTTATCAAGAGCAAAGTAAAAGGGCTAAGCCTATTATGCCATCTCTTTGATGTTTTTATAGGATATAATGAAAGATGAATGCTCGATGCTCAAGCTGCAGCTGAAAGAGAAGGATGAACTCATTTCCCAACTTCAGGAAGAACTGGTAAGTGATAACAATACTTGGCCCACAGAGTGTACTTTCCTTGCAAGGTTATTTGTTCCACACCCTTATTTATTAACACCAATGGCATTAGTTATTTGTAAATCCTTCCAGTGGTTCAATCTGATGATCAGTTTTTATAATTCTGTCATGAAAACCATAGATCTTTGACAAGCTAAAGAATAGAAAGGATGTTTTATAATCTATGTGGAAATGTGTATGATTCCAGAAACATATCACTGAACCAGGATTAAATATTTCATTTGTATCTATCAGAAATCTCGAAGGCTTAGGTCACATTGTTTTTGTAAAGTGCATGATTTAACTCCATACAGCTATACCTAAAGATACAGATCTATAGTATAAAGCAAAATGCTTAATCTAGCAAACAAAACCAGATTTTACATTTTATTTTTATAAATAAAATATGTTATTTATAACATCAAAAATATGTTAACCTAATGAGACTTCTTGTTAATTTATTATATAGTTCCCAAATTATGTAAAAATTATACAAAAATATGAAGTGTGTGTGGTTCAGATTTTAGAGTATGGTTTTTAATGTAATATCATAAAAGAGAGTAGGAAGTATACTTTCATAATATAAAAATACATTTGGTAGATAGCAGACAGAGCAGTGGGCATTACTTTTTCTAAGTATGTGTTTTCTATTTATCTATGAATATTAACAGTATTTTGCAATAAAATGTGCACTCTGGATATACATTTTAAAAGATAGTACTCTAAAACAAGAATTAAATAGAAAGAAATAAAAAGAGATATTTTTGATTCATCATTAGTTTTTACACTAACAATAGATTAAAGAGAAAACCATGAAATAAGAGAGACCCTGACTCATTATTAAGATCAGGAAACAGATCCTTCTCAACATATTTTTAATGATTATTTCAGACTTACAGTAGTTTATTATGTAATTATTGAACACAGTTAAATTACAAAACAGACTTTATAGACCATCAAACTTCTGAGGACTCCTAACATATTAGTGAGATATTAGAGAAATTCATAGCATAATTTATAGACTCTTCACAACTAACAATGTTTTCCCTGAAACTTGACCTTTATTTAAACATTGTTTTATGATTGGATTGATGCTGATCATTGGTCCCATGAACATGTTACTGTGGCTTTAGCAGACTTATAAACTAGTACTTAGGAAAAGAGCAGTATAACAGAAAAAAAGGAACATGTGTTACATTACCAAAATAACCTTTTATAAACCTATAAGTAACATATTGTAGTGTCAATTTTATATATTACATAATGAAAACATTTCTTTATTTAAATACAGCCCTTTAGGTACATATTATCTAATAATGCTTTTTTATGTGGCATACAAAAATATCTTTGAATTGATTAAATATCACATATAGATATTTATTGCATAATGGATAAAATAATCAATTTTAACATAACAGAGTATTTATTACTTTGTCAGAGAGTGCTTATTTTGGATTTGGATAATTAACTCAGAAAAGAGTATTCTTTTTTTCTCAACATTAGTTATGATCAGTTTTAAAATATTCATATACAAGAAATCGACCTTCATTTGCTAAATTAAATGAAAAAGAAAATGATTACTTTCAAAGACAGTACTACATAGTTACAATTTTAAAAATTTAGTACATCTCCATCTAAAAAAGTCCTATATATATATTTTTTTTCTGTTCTTTATACTTGAATTACTCAAATTGGCTACTTAGTTTCTAAAATTTCTCAGGTAACAAGCAGCATTTGAATTTTGTGTTATTGTAGTTTTCTTATCTATCTTGAATACTTAAACAGGAAAAATGTTAACTTATGAAAATATAGTTTATTTTATTAGTTAAAAAGGACTGAAGCTTAGGGGGAAGTATGTAATTGATGATTCAAGAATTTTACTTAGAGGAAACGTGGTTGGAAAAAAAATTGTCATTCAAACTGGATTTGGAACATGGATGAGAAGTGCCAATCACATAGGCCAATACAAACCCCTTGCATCCATGGAAAATTTTGGTCCTACTATTTCTGGTCCTGGTAATAAATAACTTGTGACATTTTGTTATGGTGGAGGTTAAATTTTACATTTATGCTCTACTTACATTGAAAATTTCAAAAATGTTTAGAAATCAGTTGAGTTGTATCCATCTATATACTACAGGTTCATAATTTTTAATAATTTAGAACTGATTCAGTTTTCAATTCTTTCTCATGGGTTTCTGATTTCTTGACCACTATTATTATCACTAGCAATTGTATCTACATGTACATTATAGAATGAAATTATATGTAATTGTACCAAGAAAGGCTTTATTCCCAATTAGTAATAAAGAAAGTTTTAAATTTTTTTATTATTTATATTTTTCAGTTAGCCTTATCAGTAGTGAGAGGAGTTGTAAAAAGTTAGGGATAGAAAGGGTCTAGAACAAAAGAAATGTTTTTCTTTTCTTTTCTTTCTTTCTTTTTCTTTCTTTTTTTTTTTTTTTTTTTGAGACAGTCTTGCTCTGTCACCAGACTGGAGTACAGTGGCATGATCTCAGCTCACTGTGCAACCTCTACCTCCTGGGTTCAAGTGATTCTCCTGCCTCAGCGTCCCGAGAAGCTGGGATCACAGGCACATGCCACCATGCCCAGCTAATTTTTATATTTTTAGTAGAGACGAGGTTTCACCATGTTGGCTAGGCTGAACTTGAACTCCTTACCTCAAATTATCTGCCCACCTCGTTTTCCTAAAGTGCTGGGATTATAGATGTGAGCCACCACTCCGGGCCATAACAAGTTTTTTAGTCATTTAAATGCAAGGTTTTTTTAGTCATTTCTTTTTAGGGCATGGTTTCTCAGCAATAGTGCTAGTAGCGTTTTGTTTTAAGTGTCTGTGCTGTGAATTGTAGGATGTTTAGCAGCATCCCTAGCCTCTCTCCTCTAGATGCCAGTAGCACCTCTACACATTGCCAAATGTCCCATGGGGGCAAAATTGCCTCCAGATGAGAACCACTGCTATAGGGATATTAGATTAAATGTATAGTTCCCAGTGAAATGGTATGTTATAGAAAAAGCATCTACTTATAGATAACCAGGGCGGGAAAAAAAAGGAAAAACAAAAACAAAAACAAAAAAACTCCTGCACAAGGGAGGCACCTTTCCTTGGGCTATTAAATATGTAACTGTACACTATATTTTTCTGCTAAGGCTACCAAAACAAAATACCATAGATGGGGCGGCTTAAACAACTAAAGTTTATTTGTCAGAGTTCTGGAGGCTAGAAGTCTGAGATTGGGTGCCAGAGTGATTTGATTGTAGTGAGGGCTCTCTTCCTGGCTTGCAGATGGCCATCTTTTTAGTATGTGCTCACACGGTCTTTCCTTGGTGCATGCACACAGGGAGAGAGAGAGGAGAGAGAGAAAGAGAGATCATGCAAGCCCTCTGATGTCTCTTCTTCTAAAGACACTAATCCCATCATAATGGCCCCACCTCATGGCCTCATCAAAACTCTCATCATCTCCCAAAGGTCCTGTCTCCAAATATCATCACACTGGGAGCCAGGACTTCAATATATGAATTGTGGAGCAGGAGTAACAATTCCATACATAGCACATACTCTTTGTGCTCCTGACTGTTTAATATTAGCAAGTTCAGTTGTGGAAAACTGGAGAGTTCTACTACACGTTTTTTTCCAGCATTAAATGCACATTTCAAAAATTATCATTCTTTTCTACCCTATAATTTCAAAATTATTGCATTGGCTTAATTATTTTTTATTGCTGTGTGGGTAGATTTCACAAAGCATAAATATACTAAGAAACTGAAGATAATTTTGAGTTAAGATTATATATTGATATTGTTTGGGTAAAATTATTCAGATTATTAACTGCACTTCTAATGTGAATGTATTTTTGTATTTTATAGCCACATTTCCAATTTATTCTTTCTTTTTCTTTTTAAAAAGAAGACAATACGCTGTTTGTACTCTTAGGAACAATTTTTAAAAGTCAAAAATTATTATCCCTGAAATGTTTATACATTATTTACCTTGGTGAGCTTTATTGTTTTCAACAGATCAAGATAAAAATAATCACTTGTAATTGTTTTATTATGTACAAAGGGATATTAAATGTTAGAATATTAGAGCGTCCTGGGATTATATATGTGCGAGGCCAACTAATTGGAGAAAACGAGAAATATATTCTGTAGCCAGAAGTTTGTAGTGTGGTAAACAGAGAGGAAACTAGTTCACAGCATGGAACATCTACTCCCAACTGTTCTATAATAGAATAAAATCTCCTCTGCATTAAATAAGAAATAGACTAAAGAAAAAATTTCTCCTCTTCATCTTCCTGGGGCCTTAGCTTTCTCTACTTGAGGAGAAGAGTGAGTCAATATGGTTATATGGAAAATTGGGATATGAGTTTCTTGTCCTACCTCTAATCTTAATTGCCTATGTGATCAGATTTAGGTATTTTTCTCTGTTTGGGTGTTAGTTTCTTCAACTGTCAGATAATATTATCGTATGTTTTGGTCTGTTTTGTGCTATTCTAATAAAATATACACACTGGATAATTTATGGTAATTTATAAAAACAGAAATATATTTCTCACAGTTCTAGAGGCTGAGAAGTTCAAGACCAAGGAGCCAGCAGGTTAGGGCCCAGTCTCTCTGCTTCCAAGATGGTGCCTTGAAAGCTGAGGGAAGGAATGCTTGTCCTCACATGACAGAAAGGCAGAAGAGTATGAGTATACTCTCCTGCAAGCCCATTTTATAGCAGCTTTAGTATATTCATGAGAGTGGAAGCCTTCATGATCTAAACATCTCTCCATAGGTGAGACTTCCCAACACTGTTTGGGATTAAGTTTTCAATGCCAGAATTTGTGGGGACATACTCAGACCATAGGACCATAATATTAAAAATACATATTTATCAATAGTGAATTTGATAGATTGTAGCATATTTATATTTATGTAACTGTATTATATATTATATATTTTTATAGCTATGTTGCTTATAA